TGTGTCTTTTTGTTGTTGTTTCTACCACGTCCGGTCTGAGTTTTTGTTAGCTGTTTTTCTTCTTTGTATCGATCTGATGAGTACAGTCTTTTTCAACAGATTTTTATAGTTTGTTCTTACACTATGTTGTGATGTAACACCAGTGTCCCAGGTTAGGGTTTTATCCCGCCACATTCTTTATGTGTCTGTCCCAAGTCAGAAGCCTGTAGTTCAGTAATTGTCGTTGGTTCAAGTCTGTCATATTTGTTTTTCGTAATATGTTTTGTTATAAATTAGGCCGTTAGCTTTCTAAATTGAATTGTTTCATATTTTTCATGTCGGGGCCTTTTATAGCCGACTATACGGTATTTGGTTTTCTCACTGTTGAAGGCCGTACGGTTGACTATAATTTACATCCACTTCATTTGAGCTTTGGAGGATAATTGTCTCATTGGCAATCATACCACATCTCCTTATTTTTATACTAAACATAACTAACTGATTTACTAAATTCGCAACATAAACAACGGGAATAAAACTAAAAACAAGATTACCAAAACACTGGGGCTTAATTTCACAAAAACCTGGCTGCACAAATCTGTTTCAGAGGAATCCAATAATTGCTTACAAAAGAAGCGGGAGCTTACAATTGTTGACTATAAACCTTAAAATAATTAGCAGTGGCGGATCCAGGGGGGGAGGGGGGGGGGGGGGGGGGTGTCCGGGGGTTGAAACCCCCCTTTTTTTTACGATCAATGCATTTGAATGGCGACATATAGTTGGATATCAAATAATCGTCAGTATTAATTGATATCAGAAAATCTATTTTTTGATATCATAAAAGGATTTCTTGGTATCAAAAAATCGAATTTCTGATATCAAGAATTATCGCTATTTTACGAAAATTTTCTTTGATCTTACTGACTGATAATTTCCTTTCTCAGCGCAGTCGAGTGATATGAAAATTATCGCTAGAAACTAAGGGGGCACGTGCCGTTGCTAATGAAATTGACATGAAATTGACAACGTCGTCATAGGTAAAATAGCGATAAACAGATTATCATTTGTCATCTCAACTCGATTGCTTTTCTCGCTTTCGCCGATCAACGATAATCTATAGATAATGATTATTTTCTGATATCAAGAAATCGAATTCCTGATATCAAAAAATTGAATTCCTGATATCAAGAAATATTTTCTGATATCAAAAAATCTATTTTTGATATCAGGAATTCAATTTTTTGGTATCAAGAAATATTTTTGATATCAGAAAATAAGGAATAAAGAGTAAAACGGCGCCTCATAGGGAACAGCCTATGGTGGCAAAAAGCAATACCATAATCATACGCGAATATTCATAGAGTGGTCCGTGAGGAACGAGATTGTGTCCTCCTTGAAAATATTTAATTTACTAATTGAAATTTGACCCAGTTTATATAATAATTGATGCCTACCGTTGTTTTTGTAGATATAGATAGGAGTTCATCAAGTGTATAATTTATTCGATGGTTAATTCGTTAATTTCGATTGATATGTTTGCCATGAGACCTATTATTACGTTGTCTTTTATCAACAATATTCATAATATCAATATAAGAAGTTTTAGCTATGTTCCTTTGTCCCAGTATATTATCATTTAGACCCAGGGGATATGCTGTCTGCACTGAGTCGTTTAATCCAATTAAGACAGTTCTATAACTTTACGGGAATCTTCAAATTGTTTATGTGATTGCCCTTGATGTTTCTGGATCGTTTCGAATGGTTGGAATCTTATAAATTTAACATTGTGATTCTGTTTACCTAAATGTCGGTAAATTATACTTTTGAATTTCTTAGGTTTTCGGAAGCGGTATAGATGTTCCTGTGTTCATCTAAAAAAAATCCCGTTCTGTTTGTCCTACATATTGAATACCACACTTTGGCTTTAATTGTTCAAGTAACCATATAAATGAGGCTTTGAGTTTTTCATGTAATGTCACAGAAAAAGAAAGCGAAAAAGTTCTCCCGTTCACTGTTGACCTAACAGTATTATTAGAAGATAATCTAGATCAGGTTACTAATTTTCTGGCATTGAACGGGAATATTTGTGGATATCCACGTGCATTTTGATTTAATGATCTTGCTCACTACAGCAGCATTGTCCCCTTTGACACAATTGTAAAAAGTGCTAAATTTAGAAAGAAGAATTTCGATTGACGGCGGTTGAATTTATTTTTGGAATGCGTTGTTTTAAAGATTACAATAATGGAATATATAAACAATTGTTTTCTTTATTATTTATATTTGAGCACCCCATTATTCTCTATTCTTGATCTTTTTGTATGGTAATTTTTTCAAAATTCTAGGTCCATTATTCTCTATTATGAAAACCCACCCAGATCCAATACAATAGTTAAAATTCATTTATACTGAACTATATTATTTTTTTCAAAAAATCAACTGTATTTAGAAACTGATTTTTTTTCACTGCTGTAGGGATAATAGGAAATATGGATCGAGTATCTGAAGTTTTCTTTGAAATTCATTTCTGATACGATAGAGTTATTGCCCTTACATAGGAAAAGTGTACCCTCGGTCACTCAGCTTGAAAATTAATTGAATCAAACAATTCAATCGTCATGTTTGTGCTGTCTGAAATATGTCATTCTTCGGTATCATTTGTATGTACCTGAGGGTTTGAATTATTTTTGATTGTTTTTGTTTGTTTTTTTTTTTTTTTTTTTTGGGTGGCTTTTTTAGGAAGAAGGTCTTCATTTAAGTATTTTGTGATTGTATTGCTATTTTTAAAATTCTTTAATTTTGGCCCATTGTTGTCTTTTTGCCATATTTAGCACCCGAGTCTACATATTCTGTATTCTTCATTGCTTGTCCATTTTCCTCTATTCTTTATGTTTAACCAATTATTTTCTATTTTGAAAACCACACGAAGACCCTAATATATACTGACCGACTGTAGAAACGCAACACTAGATTATTCTGTTTAATTCCCATTTTCAAATATGCATTTTTGTTAAAAAAAACTTATGAACAGAAATTTCTTTCATTACTTCATTGTTTAAATAAAAAATGGCAGTTCGAAAGTTGAATTGATTACGTCAATTTTAATGCCCAATTCATGTGGTATACACTAAAACGCTGGTTTTCCCCTTATCAATGAATGTGTCACCGTCAAAAGCAATGACTGCCTGTAACAAACGTCAAAATGATTGTCAGAAAGGTCAACCAATTCTGTTCGGCATGTTTTTGATTCTGTTTTGCACGTTCTGATTTTTCCTTTGTTCCACCCATTAAAATGGGTTTTGGCAGTTATGCGGTTGAAATTTAAGGACTTTAAATGTTTTTCTGCTGTCGATTCTTTGGCAGTTTAGATTATGGGAAACATTTATGGCATGAATCTGTGAGCAATGGCATTCGGCAATTTGATAAGAAATTGACGTTACGGCCGTTAACATGTCTCGCAAATGACGTTGAGAAATCAAATTCTATTGACGTTGCATTGTCACTACATGTTGATCTGGTCATTGATGGTCATTAACAAATCCCGTATACTTGTATCGTTGTCGGAAGGACAGTAAGACTAGTGTCTGACGTCAAATTGTCTGGTTGCAGCACGTTTGCAGTATTCTTATGGGCTCATTCATTTTTTTTATTTCTCAGTCTTGGCAATATGGAGATGAAACTTTTTTTAACTGATTTAAGTGTGGCCAAGGATTTGAAGAACTGTTTCACGAAGAAAAAAACTTGAAAAAATCTTTTATGGGTTCCAAAATTCACTTCAAGTAATATTCGTGCGACTTCAATAATCCGGTATGTTCAATAAGCACAATTAAGTCAGATGTTGATCTTTTTTAAAGAGAAAGAAGTATAGTAAGCATAAATAGTAGTTGTGTGAGGATCGAACATTATTTGGTAAAAAAAAATCAACAGAATAAGTGTTGCGTTTTTAAAGTCACTCAGTATATCACTCACAGGTACGGGTATTTTGCATCATTAAGGACGAAACCCGGGAAAGGTATCATTTTTATAACCAGACTTGATGAATTAAAGCTGACTTAGAAAGAATAAATCTCTTCAAAGCATTTTTTCATGACCAGTTCTCAAATAGACAGACACTTTCAGCTCATAATCTGTGAGGGCCTTTAACCTATTAAACTGTTATGTAGCTTCCAGGCGCGGATTCAAACGGGGTGCCGGGTACACCGTGTAAAGATTTAGCAACAAACCATTTATAAAAAAAGGGGTGAACTCGGAAACTCCAGACATAACACTCAAAATAAAAAAAATACAACTACAATTAAGAAAAGGGGGACGGGAAATTTAACGGTTTGGCAACTTTCGGTGCCAAACAGCATCAAGTTACGCCGCAGCATCCACAACAACGATAATGAATACGGTTGATAACACGAGATAATAAAGATAAAAACATGACAAAGCTACCATGTCGTCACGTGAATATTTGTTTCAATATTTTTTTTAGTTTGTCTCACCAAGGAGGTTATATGACCTCCTTGGTCTCACGGACTGAAATTGCTGCATTAATTACTATATTTTTTACATATATATATATATTTAATTAAGTTAAGGGATTTTGAAATAGAAATTTCTCTTTATTAGTTTCCTTGATCAAATAACTTTCCTATTGCATAATTAATAATTACACAAGTTTACACGGTCACTGTTCACACATTGGTTATTGTAAACAGTTAAGATAAACAGTAGATCAAAATATGTAATAATAAGAATATTCAATGGAAATACGTGACATATTCATTTATTAATCACAATATATACAAGTTATTTCAAAATGTTTTTATCAAAACAAACGACATGTGCTCTCTGACTCAGCCAGCTAAAATGAAACCACCATATCTAATTTATGCTTTATATACGTCTCCAAATATAGACAAAATAGCAACTTCCATATCGGGAATGACAGCTCCTTTCACGCGTTTTCATTGGTTAATGCACATTCTTCAAATACTTAAGGCCGTAACATTCAATTTGATTGGCTATGTGTGAAATTCCGAACGATAATATACAAAATCGAAGCGTGTGAGTTCCGACTGTTGATTACGGTGACAAAAAGTTGTGGTAAACCTTCCTTTTAATGCTTGAGTGACAGTATACAGATGCCATTCATTTATGGATACTAAAATGATGTACAGCGTTGTGTATTAGACCAGATGGTTGTGTAATTTCACTGGTCTCAAACAAAACACAGACCGGCTTTTCCGCCGAGAAGTGAACTTTTCAAGATGGATGTATTACCAAGTGGAAACATTTTTCGTGAGCTTCAAGTTGTGCATGATACAGGATATTTTTCGGCTCAACCATCTCTAGAAGATCGTTGGCAACAGGTACGTGTTCAAGTTTCATCAATTTAGATTTGAATCAACAGATAAATGGCTATTTCCGGATACACATTACCCCCATATTGATCCCCTCATATGAATAACATTTTGACAGTTCCTGTATGAATGGACATGCAATTTACGACGTTTTAATAGCCAGATGTAATGTTGATGGACATTGATTTGAAGTCTAACTATCAAATATAATCTTGGGCTATTCATTCGATATGAAAGGCAAGAAAAAAGGATGAGCTACGTTTAAATCATTTTAGCATGCTTCCTTATTCTGTCTATTATGCTATAATTTATTTACTCCTGTGTCTGTGCACCTTCATAATCTACATGTTTCATCAATGCACAGAATTTGAATAAAAACACATACTGGCAATAGATTTGATTGCATCAGGGGTTACTTGTGAGAATTTACTTGGACGCTTTTGAAAATACTTGTTGAATGTTAAAAGTAAATAATTGTCATGTAATTGAAGGAGACCAAACAAGAAAATTGCTTCGGACACAGAATCCAAAAAGGGATTTATGCAAGGATAGAAGTGGTCTAAACCTTATTCACCTCATCATATTTTCGAGCTTGTTGTGAATTTATTTTAAGTGACAAATAAAACAAAATTGCTAATCATCATGATCATTAAGGTTGATTATAACACACATTTCACTCACACGCATGTACCCTTAAGAATGTATACATTTACACTTTGGAAAGTTTTTATTGAATGCTATATGAACAGTGCATGCACCATCTGAGAATATATCGTGTATATATATACATGTATCATGTATATTAAGGTGGGAGGCCTGGTAACACCAAAACATTTCCTCTTAACAGTCTGCACCAAAATCTTTTCCAACTACATCCGAAGACCAATATTCAGACATTTTTCTTGCATGTCTAAACAAAGTTTTGCAAATACTTACTAGTCCGAATAAAATTTTACTAGTCTGGGGCATTGGACTAGTGGCTAATGGTGCAGACTGCTTAATATTTAATTTTCCTTATATTTACAATACAGCATGGAACGTGTAGAGTACATGTATATTGAATATTTGAGGGTACCCTTAATACAAAAGTAAAACATTGGTAATTTGCATTGCTGTCCCATACCCCAGGTCTACCTTTTGAAGACTCCAAAATGTAAATTGTTTAGTGAATGTACAGATCAGAGATCATCTTATTTTGTTACTGGAGTCAGCATGGTCAGTGGATTGACAGTATGGTCCATTGAATGACATTAACTAAAATTTTTGGTGCATATATGCATTGTACATTGATTTACAATGAGGTAAAATGTACAACCAAGTAGATAGGTTGCAAGAATCTCAGATTACTGGTCATATTATATTTATATATTAAAGTAGATTTCTTGGTAAGATATATTTGTAAATGGAAATGGAAACATGTCGTCTAGAGTAAGTACTGTTAACCAACTAATTTTCGTGACTTTCGCAAGAAGAAAAATATTGTGAATATAAATCGCTGAGAATACGTAAAACTTGGACCTTTCCTTTTTAACTACATCAAATATATTTGAAAATTGCGAAATTAAATTGCAGCGAAGTAGGAGAGAAATGGCTACACACGAAATAAAGTATCCACGAAAATACTGTCTATTGTTTTCCCTTCACTTTTAAAGACTAGGCCCAAGGTTACCATTAGATTGATTGATTGTTGGTGTTTTTACACCACTTTCAGCACACTTTAATTGGCTACATCATGACGGCTAGTTTTATTGGTGGTCATGGTGGAGGAAACTGGAGTACCCAGAGAGAACTACGTTAGTTTTCTCAATTGAATTGTTTCATATTTTTCATGTCAGTGCCTTTTATAGCCGACCATACAGAATGGATTTTCTCATTGTTGAAGGCTGCACGGTTGCCTATAATTGCTTACATCCACTTCATTTGAACTTTGGTGGATAGTTGTTTCATTGGCAATCCTACCACTCTCCTTATTTTTATACTAACCTTCTGCAGGTTTTAAAAAAGTTTAATTGTTGAGTTTTCAAAGGCATTTTAATGATTTTTAAGGAAGATTTTTATACAGGTAACTTTAGTTTATGGAGATTTCTTAAAAGCTGTTTATATACATTGTACAGTGTATTTATTGTCACCGTGCTCAAGTAGTGAGAAAATGCTGATAGATACATGACATGTACATTGTACATACAATTGAATATAGGTATAGGACAAATATTTTGTCTCTCAGATCCCAAGGAATGCCCTGAGTTAGATAATCTTAAGTAATTAGATCAAGTAGAACTATGATTTTCAAAAAGAATATATATGAAAGTTAATTGATTGAGGATTTCCTGGTGGTAATAAGCTGATTATAACTATCTTCCTGTTGTTCACAACTTTTAACCAAAATTATACGTAGGACAACTTCATGCATTTCATAAGTACGTGTATAACAATGAACAGGTATTCTAGCCGTAATCTTAAGATCCTATATATGTACAGATACATGTAGATGCTGTTCATATTTGTTCTGTTTTAACCAAAGAACACTTCATGCATTTCATAAGTACTTTTTTGTACATGTATAACAATCGCCAGGTATTCAAGGCCATAATCTTAAGATCCAATCTACTTGATCTATAAATACATGTAGATGCTCTGCCTTCATGTTTGCTCTGTTTTATCAAGTTCAGATCATTGGCTTAATATAGATCAAGTTGTATGTATTTATCAAAATGACATGTTTTTAAATAATACTGTAATTTGTAAAATATGAAAACTGTTTTGAATCTGATAATAACAACCAAATATATATACAAATTGAGATTATTTTTTTTTCAACTTTTGAAATAAAGTGAATTAAATAACTAGGTTGATAGGATCTGGATTCATCTTTGGAATCAGTATTTCAGAAAACAATTCCAGTCAGATTAAGGTGTCAGTCGAGGACTTCATCTTATGGTCTCATCTTTTAAGTGATGATCCTGCTAGAACAGTTTGTCTCTGCTTTATTCATGCGAAAAGACTTGTTTTTGATAGGAAAAATATAAGTATCAGAGATGATCATTGTAATTACAAACTACATCTATAAATCTCTTTTATTTTGAGGAAGATATTGCATTTTATTAAAATTGAAAATACTTGCATCTTCGATCACCCAAGTTACAAGGAAATATGGATTATTTTCTTTTATGTAGAAGGAACAATTAATGAGTCTAGTACATGTATATACATGATACATTTTTATATCTAATAATGTTTTCATAAATTTATAGGATACTTCAAATACCTTGGTAGTAGCAATGTTTTATGTCATATTTTTCTGTATTATTATTTATTTCCATGACAACGTATGTAAACATTTCATAGAGTTGTTACACACCTAGTAACAGCAGTATTTATACTGAATGTTTAGAGTAAAACACTAAAAAAATATATTGAAATGATTTTACCAATCCCTGTGATCACATGTGATGTGGGGCTTCTGCCAAAAAGTTTCATTTAAGAGTCATGTCTTAAAAATGCATGTTTGAAGCATCGAAATAAACGTTTTGGTCAGAGGGTTGCTTCAGTTGTGTTTTAAAATTTTCATTTTAATACATATGTACATAATGTAGTGTGAGTTTTAACAGAACATGGGAAGAGGAAGGCATATTTTTATTGTAAAAGGGTACCACTTTTCTTTTCGTCAAGGGGGACTTTTTCCATAACTTTTACATTTCTCCTAAGTTTCTTTCCTTCTTTTAGACATGCAATTACCATATTTTGGCAAATTGTTCTCAAATATATTAACTTTCTTTATTTAGTCTTAAAGAAACCATATTCATATTCTTGTTTAACTATTATTGTTATGTCAAATGCCTTTCCATTGAGATTACATGTACAATGGATATAGATTCTATTTATCTGGACATCTGTCCCCTCTTGAGATCACAATTTGTGTATTTAACAGGCATATTGAATAGACAAGATCAATGAATAATTATTTCCCCACAGAGAGCCCCTCAGATAATGATGCTGTTTATAAATAGAAAGGATAATTGAATGTTTATTCCATTATTTTTTTTACATTTTCTACATGTTTCTCCTTTGTTTTTTACAAGAAAAATATTACATGTAGACGAACATGTAGTAATTATTGGTTAATTACTGTGTTAATTATTTCCACACTAAATAAACCCCTGTGGTAAACCCCTGGGACAGATAGTCATTTTGTAGTTGGAGTGGAATGCATCATAGATTACTATAACATTCTTTCATAGTAAACAGATGACCTAGTTTACACTCAATGATAGTAGTATTTCAACATGTCCTGCTATAACCCTGATAATTTTGTAGGTATACTGGCATGGAAAATCTAGGACACTGACATTATTCTTTTGATGAACAATTAATATTTTATATATAATATACATTAGTGGTGATACCCTGACACTACACATTAACCAGATAAAATGACAGCCATTAGAATATGTTTACATTTTACCAAGATATTTATTCTCTAAACCAAAATAAACATTATTTATTTTATTGTTTATTCAATTGTTTTACTTTTTGTCATGTCAGATCCTTCAATTTATACATGTAGCTTACTTAAATAAATATATTAGATACACTCATTAGGATTTTAGCTCAAGTGAGTCTGCATAAAATTGAGAAGGAAATGGGGATTGTGTCAAAGAGACAACAACCCATACAAAGAGCAGAAAACAGCCCAAGGCCACCAATGGGTCTTCAACACAGCGAGAAAATCCCGCATCCGGAGGAAGGCTTCAGCTGGCCCTTAAACAAAAATGTGTATTAGTTCAGTGAAAATAGATGTCACACTAAACTCCGAAACATATAAATGAACTAAAATTAAAAAAAACAAACAAGACTAACAAAGGCCAGAGGCTCCTGACTTGGGACAGGCGCATTAATGCGGCAGGGTTAAACATGTTTTGTGAGGTCTCAACTCTCCCCCTAAACCTCTATCCAATGTAGAAAAAACAAACACACAGCAATACATGTATTTAATTATACATCATGATATT